CTCAAGCACGTACCTCTTCCCACGGCGCATTCCTGCGGCATTACCCACCGACCCGTGCCACCACGAATTTCCTTCCCCTCTTTACCATGCCTAAAGCTCCTGAGTGTAGTACTTCCACCCTTCCGAAGCCTTCACACCGCATGCTCAGCACCCAAACCCACCTGGCCCCGCAGCCGCACCCAGCTCCTTTCTCCTTTCATAATCTGCATCGCTTGTAAGTTTCATCTTGGCTTTTGCTCCGGTATCAAGGTCTGGTGACCGATTCCTGATGCCACTGGCGTCGCGGTGGCTTTGGGGCCCCCTTAGACGCCCCTAATCAGCGATGTGTTAATGCATTTCCTCCCCATTTTACCCCCCATACCCCTTGCTGAATGTATTGATGCAACATACCCCGGTCCCTGTCACGCCTGGATGCCGGCCTGTTCATGGTTATGTCCCACATGTCTAAATCGGAGCATTTCCTTCCTTTCCTTTCTTCTCCTCTGTGCCTGCTCCCACACCGTCATCCCGTCACGCCCCTGTTCAACAGTTGACAACTTTGGACGCCGGCAGTTGCTGTTCGTGACTATCCTTGTCTTCGCATATATTTCCCCTCCCTGATGCTATTTTGACGTCACATATGTACGACTATCCTGGGCTTTGGATGTACTTACCCCCCGGGCCCCCCCTTGGGTAGGTTGGCCCAGTGGGTGCTGTCTAAAGAAGACCCCCGGGAGACGTTCCTCAAGGCGCTGCCCCGCCAGGCAGCATCCCTAGATATTATATACCCGGTACGAGCACACGATACACAATAATACGTGTCTGTGGGGTTGGGGGTGTGTGGGGCTGGGGGAGGGGGTGTTGTCGACGTGTTCCTGCGCTTGCAGCTCTACCTGTTGCTGTGTCTGTCCGTCGGTCTGTTTAGCCAATTGTCTCGACGTGTTTGTATGTCGGCGTGTCTGTCTGTCTGCCAATGTGGCCGTGTGCGTACGGTTGGGCGGCGTCTGTTGCGCACTGTTCTGGTGGTGGTGGTGGTAAGGTCTGGGGAAGCAGAAGTAGGGGCGACGATGGGGGGGGCAGCGTTAGGGTCTCCCTCTAGGATCTGTTAGGGTCGTATGCATCGTATGTAAAACATTACACAAGTGCTGCACGCTAAGAGTAGGGCCAGGGGCAAGGCGCGGCACCGCCTGGACTTCCTTTTCAAACCGTGCGTCGCCGCACTGTTTCCCCCCCCCCCCGCGCGCAATGCCTTAGTGCTGTCGTATGGCTCTGCATTGCGGCCCCTTGTGTGGTTGGTCGGCCCGCCTGACTCGTTCTTGCCCCCGGCTCTACGGCTGTACTTCTCTCGCTGGCTGGCTGGTCTGGTTGGACCGCTCTTGCCCTGGTTGGATGGCTCGAATGCGCCTCTCTACCCACTGCGCCATTGCTCTGGTTCTGGATTGGTGTGTGTATGCGTGTGTGTGTGTTACATATCTGCCTGGCCGACGCTGACCGGGGCACCTAACCGTACCCAGCGGGGAGACCACCGAAGCACTCTGCTGTTTTGATTGCAGAGGGACGTATTGTCCAGCCCGCGTGTGTGTGTGTATTCGCTCCCGCTGCAGTGTACGCTGAAGGAGCGGTTAGTGCGGCGGCGGCTCCGGCGTATGGCCCTGGCGCAGGAGCACTTCCACAACCGACGCATTGTGAGGGGGGGAAAGAGGGCGGCCGGTTCGGTGCGGAGTGAAGGCAGGATGAGGAGTGGGAATGGCGGGGAGGGAAGGGCTCGCTCGTTCTTGGAGTCGGTGCGTGCGGCGTCCGGAAGCGGAAAGATCGCCCCTGTCCCTCAGTAGCACCCCTCGTCCTACACCGTTCCGGCGGCTTTTCTTCCCTGGAAGACTGGTGTCAGCGCCCGCCCCTGCTGCCCATCTGCTCCTAACACGTTATCATCTCTGGAGACCGCCGGCCACATGTCGCATCGATGTCGCCAAAGGACTCCCGCGTGATGCCGGCACGGCTGCCCTTCACTGCCTATCGTGTTCCTCTGCTTGCCCACTTGCCTTCGCCCCCTTTTCGCATGTTCAACATACCTGCCCGTTGCGCTTCGCGCCGCTTGTGTGCCCGCTGGTTGCTCGGTCCGTGCCATTGTGGGGCTGCCGGTGGCCGGTGGGCGCTGCCCGGACCTGCGCGCCGCCTGCTGCTGCTATGGCCACTGCTGCAGTTGGGCTGGGCGCTGGCGACCTTGCCGCAGTTGCCGCTTGTGGTGGGTAAGAGAGGGGGAGAGGGTAAGAGAGGGAGGGGACATTGTGAAAATTCGCGCAACGGGGGAGGCCGAGTGGCATCTGGAGGAGGGCGGGGGAGGGAGGGAGGGAGGGCACTACCAGGGCAAGAGTGCGCACTTCTGCTTACAGGCGGGTGGGGCATGGAACGGAAAGAAGGTGCGGGGAACGCAATGAGTGATAGAGAGGGTGTGAGTCGGTGTGAGTCAGAGTGAGTCAGAGTGTGTGTGTGTGAGAGAGAGAATAAAAGGACTTCGAATGCGTGTGCGGGGTGCGCCTGCGGCAAAGCTGCTAGCTTGTCTGCTGCTAGCTGGGGTAGCGCGTAAAACAGTGCGTCATTCAGCAGGGGCGTTCCCCCCCGCGTTGGAGACGGGCCGTGATGCGCGCGCGCCTGGGGGAAACAGGCTCCTCGCTGTTCTGCTGCAATGCCCTGCAGCGCATGTCATGCATCACATGGAGCAAAGAGTTGGTTGCCGCAAGCCAGTTATGCCTGTTGCGACTTTTCTGACACCTCTAATTTGGAATCGAAGGATTACCGGGACTCAAGGGCTCCTTCCCTTCCCCCCTCTCACCAGGGCTGTCCAGGAGCCACAGTTTCGCCCACAAGTCTGTTTGCGCGATTTCTCCGCTTTTTTTACTCTCTTCCCTTCGAAATCTCAGAGCCCGTCCTTCTGCGTCTCGTCCTCCTCCTTGATCGCTGCATTTTTCCGCCGCATCTCACCCTTCCCCCCCTCAACCAATCGCCAATGGTTTGCCTTATCCCCGTCCCTCCCCGTTTCAACCCCCCAACCCCACGACACCCCGCCTTAGATAACTCCCTTTCCCAACGTGACACTCTATTTCACGGCTTACAAGATGGTATCCCACTACCAGGCGCTGCAGGTGAGTGAGAGTTTGACTCGGGGCCAGAATGACCAGGTCGGGTCAGGGGATCGGGCAGCTCTGTGTTTATGACCGACGGGAGGGACTAGCGGATGCGAGCTGTGGGTCAGGCGCACATACAGGGGCATATTGCACTTCATCGTTGTCTCCATTCGATGCCATGCTGTGCCGTGTATCCATCAGTGGTAAGGCTCCGCCCTGCCCAGCGATTTTTTTCACATTCACATGTGGGAGAGCGGTACGGTATGACCGCAGGGATGCCGTACGCTGCGGTCCGCCTTCGAGCGATACGACCAAGAAGAGCGGGAGGCGCTGCAACGGCGTCACGCAGTGGAGCAAACCCGCAGCAATGGGTGCTCCGGGGGTCTCATAGGCGGTCTGGCCAGGCTGCTGCCGTTGCCACTTCGGCGCGGATCTGCAGAAGGCTGTGGCGGCAGTGGCAAGGACAAGGGCCAGGGCGGCAGCTTGAGCAGCGGCGGTGACAGTACCAGCAGTACCAGCAGCGTTACCTCGCCTGCAGGGCCACCCCTTCCACAATTTCGCTGCAGCAAGGCGTTGGACCAAGCGACGCGGCCGCTGGAAAGGTGCGGCAAGGTGTACGTATGACTTCGCTTTGCTGTTGTGCGGGTTATGCGGCAAGGCCTTGAGATGAGCAGTTCATCTCTGGGCGAATGTGCCTTTTATGGGGTTCCGGGTCATGAACCTGGAGCATATCAGCGTCCTTCGCTGTGACGCCGCGCGAAATGAACACTATGTAATGCCTTTTTTCCCATTTTCGCTTCTCCTCCCCTGGACTTGGAAGGGCCACAAACTCTGCCTCTATTCCAGAGTGTTCCCGGCCGCCGTTCTTCCTCCTCCTCGCACGTGGCTTCCAGGTGGCATGCCCCTCTGCCGGACGAGATCGCCGCCCAGATCGAGGAGCTTTTCCACCCCAAACCCAAGACGACTGCAAACGGCCACGACGGCGCGGCAAAGAAGACGACAAAGAAGGATGGCGGTGGCGCAGGTAGCAGGGGTGCAGATATTGGGGTGGATGGAACTGAACAGGAGACAGACACGGGGTCGGGACAGCTCCAGGAGCTTGTGACGCGGTTGCGGACGCAGGTCCTGCAGCGGGAGCAGAAGCAGGGCCCGCCGCAGAAGCCGCCGCAGCAGAAACACGCGGCGGCAGCAGCAGGGGCCAAATAAGACTTTGGATTACACGAAGCATAGCGGGGCGGCGAAGAGTGCGTGCCGAAGCGGCTGGTAGAGCATCCTCTGCACTTCACATTGTGGGCAGCGACAGGATGTCCAGCGGGTTGGGAGCCTCACAGGCACACGACTGAGTGGCGTGTCATAGCGAGAGTTGGCGTACAGAGAAATCTGTAGGTAGTAATGTATACGTGCGGAGGAGGTTCGGGCAATTGCGGTTTCTGGACGTTCAGGCCGTTGCTGGTTGCCATCGAGAGGTATATGGAGAAGTCTTAAGGGTGATATTGTGTCGTTTGTGTAGAGAGGAGTGTGCAGAAGAATATAGGCACTGTTGCGCTTCTAAGCGTTGCGCTACGTATTGTGAGAGATTTGTGGAGTTATGCCTGGCGCATTGACAGAGAGGGCGTTTCGAGAGAGGTCCGAGAGGTTACATCTTTTGCACGTCTAAGGTGTGCGTTGTATCCTACTTATTTGCCCACAAGTGTATGTATAGCCGGAGGCAGATATTCCTCCCGTGTATTCTCTAGCTTCTATGTCGTGGTTCGGGATGTTTGTACATGGGTTTGCTGGCTCGCACATTGGACATTTCCGATTGGCATGCAAGCAATCTCTGGTACACGCCCGCGTTTGTTTTTTTTCAGTTCTGTGGCACGTGCCGGACCATGAAATTCTGGCGCGTAAACGGTGTGAGACAGGGACAACTTCACAAGCCGCTGTACTGCATATACCTAGCACACGCTTGAAATTAGATAGTGTTTTTAACACACTGTAGTCTTCCTAACGGATACGATGTGCAGAAGTTCCGGACAAGATCGTTATCGTTACAGGCTAACAAATGCAGTCGCACAAGGCTAGCCAGCCGCGCAATCTATGCATTCACGTTGCCTGGCGCTCACGTGATGCAACCCAACAACCCATTGCTCAGCAGCCATGCCAAAGCAATATGCTGTACGCCGTATTGTGTGCGCTGCCTCTACTGCTGTGCTCCAAAATGTGCGAGTGTAAAGCGTGGGCATTTGGGACTGTGTAGACTGCTTACGCCTCAGGACCTTACAAGCACCAAACTCGGACTAAACCCGAGGGACCCAGAGCCCTTACTTGTACTGCAACGAGGAAGGAAAAGGGCAAGGGGTAGAAAGGGGGATACCGACCGTTGGGCAAGGCGGGAAACGTCTGTGAGGAGCTAACGTGTCTGTGAATTCAAGCAGAGGCCAACACCAGCATAGCCGCTGTTATAGTTTCCAGAAAGTCTATTTCACATACCTTGACAAAGCCAATGTCAGCGGCCTTCTCGCGGAAGCACTGACGGCAGATGTTCAGGCCATACTTGCGAATGATGGCATGGTTGTTCCCGCAAACACGGCTGCAATCGTCCAAACAACAACAGAATTTTTTGAACATCGGCCAGCTCAAGACGGTTAAATCCCTTCCAGCAGCTGGCAGCGCCGGCGCAGCAACCTTACCAGAAGCGCGAGCCCTGGCCGTATTCCTTAGGGTGGCTGTTCCAGACGTCGTTGTGGCCCATCTTTAAGGATTACTGCTGCCTGACCTGCACATATTACTTCGCTTGTAAGTTTCCAGGTCTAAAATCTGCCACAAATTGTTTCACCTAAGCCAGCAACGTACGCACCAGACACGGTAAGCAAGATGGGCACAAGGCGCAGCGAGAGGGCTCAGTCAGGGTTGCGGCAAAGCTTTAGGCATTGCGGCCGGCGACCGTCGTACACGTTGGACATGGCGGCTCTTAAACACAGTTTGGTAGAGCAAGTACTCAATGTACCTTGCGCTAGTAGACCGTTGCATTCTTTAGAGTTTCGGGCCTGTGATTTTGGTAGCGTGTTGCGTGTCTCGTCTGAGACTCTGGTGAAAATACCAGTCGTCGTTTTCTAATTCAAAGGAAGACATAGTTCAAACTTTTTATTTCAAGTCATATTCTTGTCCGGAAGCATTAGTATTTGACGGTGTCCCCTGACAAATCCCCAAACTTCACATGGCACTACCCTGATTAAGGTAGTGCGTTTCCAGGCTTAAGGGGAGAGGAAACGCGTCTGGGAGTGCACGAGCCGCTTCGGGGAAAAGGTGCTTCAACTCGTGTGGAACCCGCTGGTGATGGTTTCGACGGCGTTCAGGGGAGGGCTTCGGAAGACACGTTGTGGGCCGTTGCCAAAGTCCCCTACTAAGGCTTCCGCTGGTTCTGCTAGGCCACGCATACAATGCAGCAGAGTAAAGGACACGGGGTTGCCGCGCATAAAAGACGTCCCATTTAGTGTCATACCTCCTCACACGCGTGCTCTGGCACGCGTGTAGGGCCCCAATCTATTCAATTCAATTTAATAAACAAGCAAATCTCTGTATACGCAGAACGATAACTCGGCCTTGCCTATCATTTGCAGATGGTGAACGCCGGTCTTGCCTAGGACTCGCAGATGCGGGTTACCAATGACAAGTTTCGCTGTAGTACCAAGGCCTATCACCGTCCCATCACCATCCATCCCCTCTGCGCCTCTGGTGGCCCAACAACCCCAACAGTGAGGAGGACGCCGTAGAAGGGCCTCCCAGAACACTCCCCCACCGAGCGGCGAGTGCACCAGCACGTGCACCTGCAGCACAGTTCTCGTGGTTCTTGTTTCTATAGGAATTGGACGTCACTGCTCTTGGCAGAGGTTCAGAGGGTGCTCCGGAAAACCAACGGTTCCACCCCTAATCCAGCCCAAGCCGGTAATGCTCCTGATGACCCACATCTGACTGACACCTGCTCTGGCAAGCTGAGCTACGATCTCGCTCTCTCCGCCCTCGCACCTCCCAAGTGCCATGCGAAACACTCTAGACCACAGGTTAAATCACTACCTTTGTACGGCAAAGAACATCCTGATCACGTCCCGCGCTGCACGGCGGTCTGCAGACCGCGATCAGGTATTAAAGGATAGCGATTATCGAAAGCAACGCATTAGCAAGGAAACCAGGCTGTCCCAAAAGCTGAACTCCAGAACCCCTCCTCCTCCACTTAGGGGCTGGCTTAGCGGCGCTGAGGTGCAAATGCCTGCTGCCCCGCCCTTGTTCCTCCACCTTACAGTGAGAGTCTCCTTCACGGCGCGCGGAAATCCTACACCTTCCTCTTGTCTTCTGTACCTCTCACCCTCACCCTCACCCTCACTACGTCAACAATATCCTTCACGCTCCCACACCTCTTCCCTGCAACCCCCACATGCGCCTCTCGTCGGCCCTCGTATCATACTAACGCGCGCGAGGCCTCAAACCCCACAACCCTCTCAACCCCACAGACAAACGGCACATCAATCTTCTGAGCCGCGACAGTGCCGCCTTTCCCTCGCCATTAACGTCCTCAACACTGTGAGAGATCATTCACTGTCCGGTCCGATCCCCTGTAACCTCATTCATGAATTCATTCCACCAAACTGATAAGGACTTGAAAAAGGAAGGAGTAGGGGATGGGGGCTACGAGTGCTCATCCTCATCCTCAAGACCGGCCCCCCACATTCCCCCGCCACACTGTGGGTATATTCCTGTGAATATTCCTACGCATAGCTACTCCTACCGCTGCTGCTGTTATTGCTACTGCTGCTGCTGCTGCTGCTGCTGTTGCCGATATTACTGTTGCTGTTATTGCTGCTGCTGCTGCTGCTGCTGGCGCGCTCTCGTCCATGCCGCCAGCCTGTACGCTGCCGTGCGGTACACGTCCGTGTGGCAGCTCACCGAGGCGTCCATGGGCCGCGTGTAGCCGCCGCCCATCGTGATCACCTGGGGGGGTGGGGGGGTGGGGAAGCACATACAGACACACAGATACACACACACGTAGCCAGTCACATGACCGTGTCCGGAATATGGCGCTATGGAGCAATCACGAAGAAGGCCCAGGGGCTCGGAACGGCACCGGATCGGCGTCGGTTAGGGCAAAAGTCGCACATTCATAGACAGCGCGGCAGCCTCAACAAGGACTAAGATGTTGCTTGGATTGAAATTGATGGAAGTGGATCAGCGGTGATAGGTGGATGGAGAGAGAGGCACAGAGAGAGAGAGAAGGCGGGGAGAAAGTGTGAGAGAGAGAGGCCAACTCGCTGACATGTGTTGGCGGTATCTATTATCGCATTCCGTGAAGCATGACTCGGGTTGTGGGTTGTCAGATGAAGGGGGGAGACGGGCGACCTGATACGCCTTTGCGGACAAGCTGTGATGATGCGCTGTGAGGCTGAGTGGTGGACGATGACCCATGGGTCGCGGCGCGCCTAACGGGCTTTCCAGTGACTTGTACCCCACCGATGTTGACCCCACCATCTCTCTCTCCTCCACCGCCATCACCAGCACCAGAAAAAAATACACGCCAACAGACACACCACATGCACAAAAACACAAACACGCGTAGCAGGGAGGTTCTCGCGCCCCGTGTGTGGGTTGGACTGCCACGTCCCCGAGCCCCAGTACGGCGGCACTTACCAGAGGTACTCCCGCCTCCAACGCAGTGCCGTACACGAGGTTGTTCCTAGCTAGCAGACCCGACCGGGTCATGCCCAGCCGGCCGAAGCTGCGTGTGTGTGTGTGTGTGTGTTTGTATGTATGTATGTATGTATTTACACATGTGCGCGAGACAAAAACACACAGGGCCGGTTTAGGTGAGGCTGTTGAAGGGGAAAAAAGCGATCTGCAGATTAAGACAAGGGGATGTCCCAGAACGAACGAACGAACGAACGAACGTCGAATTGCTTTTAATGTCTAAACTATGACATGCATGCGGGTGCAGCGCCACTAGGCAATGGAGGGTTCAGGACCACCAGTCGCTGCAGGCTGCCACCACAGCCCCCAACGCAGACCGGGCCCGACTGGCGGCGGCCGGGGCGGGGTTGGAGTTGGAGTTGGAGTTGGGGTTGCAGCGCAAAGTCATAAAACGTCAACAGCACGCACATACATGCACACGGGTACACGCACTTCCACAGCGCCACTGCCCTTCTCACGGTCTCAATCCATATCAAAACACACACACACACACACACACGCACGCATAACCACACACGCATAACCACACACTCATAAACACACACACGCACAAACACACCTGCCATCCGCGCGCACCTGTCTCCTCTGAGCGCATCCACCCCTGCCTGGAACATGATGAGCTGGGGCCGGTGCTCCCGCATGAGCTTGGGGAGCCACGACTACAGGGGAGGAGGCGGCCCAGGGACTTAGGATGGAGAAACCCGGGGCCCTGCCGCGGTGGTGGGAAGCCCGGCTAAAACACACACACACACACACACACACACGCCTCCTCCCTGGAGTTCCTCTTCGCCCTCCCGGGACTTCCTCCGCTGGGGTTCCCCCATCGTACAATGGTACAATCCCTGTGGTTCTTGGCCGTACATGCACTACAAAACACACACTCAGAAGCCCCCCATTTCCCCGCCCCTTTCCCCTCCTTACAAACATGGACGCACACCACCGTTACAAAACACACACAGACACGCACAGAGGTCGTCTCAAGCAGACGTACAAGCCTCACCCGCAACAGCGCCACGTACTGCTCGTCCCCCGTGTCGTCAAGCAGGGGTATGTCGTACGTGTTTTTCCGGCGGGTTTTCCAGGGGTAGTTCTTGTCGCCTGTCGTACGAAGGAAGGCGGGGGTGTGAGTGGGTGACATCGGGTTGGCATGGGGGAGCCAACAGGGGGCAATGTGGTGTTTGCGCGCTGATGACTGCTGGTTAGGGCGTTGGTGACGGTGATGTGGTGATGTGTGTGGTGGTGACGGTGATGGTGAGGTTGGATGGTGGCGGTGATGACGGTGATGGTGGTGATGGTGTGGTGGTGGTGATGTGGTGATGACGGTGATGGTGTGGTGGTGGTGATGTGGTGATGACGGTGATGGTGGTGATGGTGTGGTGGTGGTGATGTGGTGATGGTGTGGTGGTGGTGGTGATGGTGAGGTGGTGATGGTGGTGATGGTGTGGTGGTGTGGTGTGGTGGTGGTGATGTGGTGATGACGGTGATGGTGTGGTGGTGGTGATGTGGTGATGACGGTGATGGTGGTGATGGTGTGGTGGTGGTGATGTGGTGATGGTGTGGTGGTGGTGGTGATGGTGAGGTGGTGATGGTGGTGATGGTGTGGTGGTGTGGTGGTGGTGATGTGGTGATGGTGGTGATGGTGGTGATGGTGTGGTGGTGTGGTGGTGGTGATGTGGTGATGGTGGTGATGGTGTGGTGGTGGTGATGTGGTGATGGTGGTGGTGGTGTGGTGGTGGTGTGGTGGTGATGTGGTGATGGTGGTGATGGTGTGGTGGTGGTGGTGATGGTGGTGATGTGTGGTGGTGAGTGTGGTGGTGTGGTGGTGGTGATGTGGTGATGGTGGTGATGGTGTGGTGGTGGTGGTGATGGTGGTGATGGTGTGGTGGTGGTGATGTGGTGATGGTGGTGACGGCACATTATAAGAGGCCCCGTACAACAGGCTGGGGCAGAGGCAATGCTTCGCGAGCAAGACGCAAGAGCAAAAGCAGTTACATGACAGCCGGGTACGCGGGCAACATGGGTGCGAGCGGGCGGGGTTTCATCAGGCGCAATACGACTACACCAGCCCGTAGCAGCCTTGTTGGCCCGCTTGGCTATTTGCCAGGTAGGCGTGTGTGTGTGTGTGTGTGTGCGGAGGGGGGTGATGGCAAACAGATGGCTGGCCCACATCAGGGCGGTGTCCGTACCAAATATGTCAAAGGTGGTGACCCGTGGGTCATCTTGGAAAATGTCAGCTGTGCCGTTACCCTGATGTACATCCAGATCCACAACTAATATGGAGTCCAGACTGCGGAGGAGCGAGAGAGGCGGCGCGGAAGCAGGACGCAAAGGGCGGCTGGGTTGGGGGTGGGGTGGTGGGGGTGGGGTGGTGGGGGTGAACTCACGTGAGGATGCAAAGAAACAAAGACTCAACTGCCGACGGGAGGGTAGGGGGTTAGGGGAGTTAGGGGGGGAACAAGAAGGGCGGGGAAGCAGGTATACACCGTGCCAACCGTGTTTCCCTACACTGCAACGACCCGTACTGCGAACCCCACTCGCAAACCGCCATTGTCACCCGTGACCCACATCCCCCCACATCCCCCCACATCCCCCCACATCCCCCCACCCTCACCCGTAGTCCCTCATGGCCACTCGGGCCGCGACCGCGATGTCGTTGAAGATGCAAAACCCCTCACCCCTGCCCGGACGGGACATCCGCGGAGCCCATAGGGCCCATACACACACACACACACACACACGCAGCAAGGGGGCGGGGGAACGGGGGAAGTGGGATCAGCGGGAAGCGGACCGGCGGGCGGTCGGGCCGGTGACGTGGAGGTGAGGACGGGCGGGGCGGGGAGCGGGGAAAGGGTTTCGAACAAAAGGAAGAGACTAGCAACGATGAAGCAGCGAGGGGAGCAAGCGAGCAGAGAAAGAGAGAGCAGAGAGGTCTCGGAGCGCGGGCGCCAGGAAATGCAACTGGTGGTTGTTTCGTACGGTGTTGGCCCCCCCAACCCCCTTCCCTATGCCAGGCGCATCCGATCCATGGGCACTACGTACCTACCGCCCCCTCGATATCCCCCCCCCCCGCGTACGGCTCGGGTGAGGTCACCAATACACCCCAGCGCACACAGGGCAACCACACACACACACATACACACACATCCTAGTACGGAGACACACGCACCGGTCCCGAAAGGCGTGGTGTGTGCCGCCCGCTATGTTGCCCGCGATGATACTCCCTCCCTGGAGCAGAACAGTGGGAAGAGCAGCAGCAGCAGGAGGAGGAGGAGGAGGATCGTGAGGAGGAGCAGGAGTGGACAGTCTGAAAACCTAAATATCCTTGACTAAATAATGGGTGTATAATGGGTGGAGGAATAAAAGTCCTTGCCAAAGGTTGACTGGGTCGGACTAGGTCAGCATCCCCACCAGCTCATATCCCCCCCCTCCCTGGAGAGTCGGTCAATGCTGTCAATGCCCTACTTCGGCAGATTCTTCAGCTAACCTCTTGTTGTACGGCATGTACCGTACCTGCTGCATCACCACATGCATAGCCGCCACCGTACCTCCGCAAGAGGCGAATGTACGACCCACCTGTCGTACGGGTTTGGGCCCGGGGAGCAGGGGATATAAAAACACAACACTGGGGCGGGGAACTGCTGTTGGATTCAGAATCCAGTACCGGATCCGCGGGCGAGCAGACGGGGATGCCAGTCCCAGCTTCAATCTCCCCTCGCCCCCCAAACCAACCAACCCACACACACATACTTACAAACACGTTCCCCTGCTGCTTTTACTTCATCCTCCACCCCCCCAAGCCCCGCCTGCCGCCCAACCCACCAGTTGTTCACTCCAGGGGAACCCCACGTTGCGCATCTCCGGATCCGTCATTCGGTTGTACCTGGGGGGTTGGGTTGGGGTTGGGGTGGTTGGGTGGTTGGGGTGGTTGGGGTGGTTGGGGGGAAGACGAACCACGAAGGAGGAAGGGAAGCTGATGCCAAGGATAGACTGATACGCCAGAAGTAAGCAAGGGTTGGCGGGGGGTTGGGGGGTGTAAGGGAGTGGCGGCGGAGAGGACGGGGGAGATCACAACTTTTTGGGCACGAGCCGCTTCTCGCCTGGTCGATGTCATACGTCATGTCGTACGTCATGTCGTACGTCATGTCGTACGTCATGACACTGCCGCTCCCCCCCCGGTCCTACTCCCCATAGTCCATGATCGTGTCCGAACACTTCACGCAGTAGAAGGCACAGCACCGCCACATGCCGCCCACACCAGCATAAGCGCCAGCAACGACTTCAACATCTTCACATCCCCGTAAAGACCCCTCATCGCAAACCCATGGGAGCCACGATCTCCCAGACAGTAACCCCTCCCTTGTCGTACCCTCCCCCCCGTCGTACCCTTTTTGGCCCTTGTCGTACAATCACACCCGTGCCTTAAGACCTTTCTCCCCCCCCAGGAAGAGATCCGGAGCCCCACAACAACCACCTGAACCGTTCCACATACGCCACGTCATGCGCCAGCGTCACATCCTCCATGGACACGGCCGGAGCGGCCCTCAGCTGTATAAGGCCCTCCAGGGAGTGATCCGCCTTGAGAGACCCGTGGGTCGCTGCGTACTTTTCCATGGGGAAACGGTGGCCGGGGGGGAGGGGCACCTGGAAGCGGGGCCACGGGGTGGAAAAGGGGTAAGAAGACGAACCACAGACAAGTGATGTTGATACCAGGGAGGGATAGACGGACGGATACTCCGCAGTATTAATAGACGGATAAGGGGGGAGACGGAGGGGGAAGTGTATGTATATATGTATGTGTGGGGGTGGGGGTGTAAAGGAGACGAGAGGGGAGGGGACGAGGGGGGAAGAGTATGAGTATGCAGAAGTGCAGAAGATACTAAATGTCGGTGGCCAAACTAAGCAATAGATGGATACTGCACAATTTTGTAAGAAGTTACCAACCAGTAGTGGGGGATATGATGAAAATGCCAAAGAGGCATCTATCTACATCCCGAGCACTGACTACCGGGAGGTGGAGGTGGAGGGCGGGGGGGGGGCTGATGTGGCAGTTGGTGTGACACCGGGCGAAAGGGAAAGGGGAACTTTGAAAGGGATAGCACCACCAATCGCGTTGGCGCAGATGACAAGGGCGCGGGCGCACAAACGTGGGCTCATACAAAAGGGGCCAGGCTAGCGATGGCAGATCAAGGGTCGTACAGTGACAGGCATATGCTGCTGCTGCTGCTGTTGCTGTTGGTAACCGCCCTCTGGTCGAGTCGAGTCAAGCCGTTTTGTATCGAGTCGTGTGCAATCCGGAGAATGATGGTTGTGTTTTTTCCGCGTGTGTGTTCTTATTGACGGTGGTGAGCTAAGAAAATGGAAAGTACTTCAAGTCGTCAAAAGGCGCAGCAGAAGGCGCCGCTAGCGGAGCGGAACGCCGCATTGCAGTTGTGTTGGGAGGAAAGGGGGAGAAAGCTCGAGAAGAGGGAGAGGATGCCGCCCCTCTCATCGGGGGGGTCGTAAGACGACCACTGGCGAACGAAGCAGCTACCAGAGATAGACGGATAGCTCAGGCCACGGGGGGGGGGGAAAGGGGGGTGGAGACAGAGTAACGGAGAGCGACCAGGGGAGACTGAAGGGAAGCATCAATCCACAGCGCTGCCCATCAGCCTGCCGGATCATACTCATGCACCTGCATCATCTAAATTCTCAGCGTCATAAGCTGATTTGGTCTAGCCCATCGAATCCCCAAGTTCACACGTTACCGCGTGCCGTGCGTGCCGTACTCATCTACCCACCCGCCAATGGTCCGCGTAATATGCCACCAGGACTCCAGGGGGCCCCAACGGCGGCAGCGGGGCATCGGGTTCAGAGGCGGCGGCCAGTGCTGCTGTCGCTGCAGTCGCCTCGTTTGTGACCTGTACGACATACGTACGGAGACAGGTGCCGTACCTGTGTGGTTGGCCTGCGGCTCGGGATCATCAGGCCGCGGACAGTAGGTGGGGTGGTGTCCGGCTGCGCGCGCGGGCGGGTGGGATCTGGCAAGGCGGGACTTTTGTCCAGTTGGCCAGGGTGCTCGTGTAGGTGGTCTTACAGATGCATGTCTAGGGCCACTAGTTGTTGCTGACTGACTGGGCAACCGCGGCTTGGTTTCAGCTCACGGGGGCGGGGAGGACAACTCTTAAGTATCGTGCTGTCAGATGAAGGTGCCAAGAGCAGGCTTTTAGTGGGCAAAGTTCAGGGAAGTTGAATGACAGGTGGAATCCTCGCGGGTGTTCAAGTCCGCCGTAAAAGCTCCCCCTCGACCCTAGCCCCAAGCTTTGGATGCCAGGAAGCCTCCCTGACGCAATCAAAACGAGGGTTTCGCTTCTTTTATCTGTGGAATGCTGTTAGTGCAGGCTGGGTGGCTGGCTCTCCTTGATGGCTTTCATAACACATTTCGGGGAAATCGAAGTGCCGACCATGTCCTAAGCGTGGGACATCAGGAGTTTTTGCATAACAATAAAACCATACCACGCCGAAAAGCCGAAAGGCGACGTCGCGCCGCATGCATTTCCAAACGATGTCCAACGCGGTTCCGCAACGCGTACGCCGTTTGCATAGTTCAACCGAAAACGATTGATAATGAAAGCCTTATAATTGTTGCTGTCTACTTGCAACCATTTCCATAATAGAGAACTGGATCAACGGTCAGTGGTGTTCGCCATCGAGTTTCGCTTACAGAACTTGATAGCGGGGATCAACGACGAAACCAAGTGATTCCCAAGGTTTACACCTAACAAGGGAACGCTCGGCAATTGGAGCCCGGTACCTATAGAAGAATGTGCAGTTGTGCACCGCCAGTGCTCGTCCTGCGTCCGTTGTCGTCGTTGTGGCCTTCATGGAGAGAAGGGTGCAAAATGCTCTTATTAGTCATTTAAACAACGACATGTGCAAGTGTGCTGGTACGGAAGAACTCCTGGCTTCGACGATCCACTCTGTTGTCGTGGAAGACCGCGTCTCAAAAGGGAAGCTCCGAGCCGGCCAGCTTGCGAAACTGTGGAGCGAGGTCAACCCACGTGCTGGAGGCATGGTACAGTTCGAGATGCCCACAGCATCTGCAGCGGCAACACTTACGGGTATAGTAGGTATGCCGGCAGACGCGTGAGACTTGATTTGGTCCACATTGTTCGTCAGCTGTCAATCAAAGGGTCTTTCTTACCAGAACGTCCAAGCCCAGGAGCCCACTCACCTCCCGAACTTTGCACGCTGTCTTAGTGCAACTGCTGGAAATCGGTAGTTCACCCAAACTAATATGGTCACACTGCCGGTACCGTCCCTTCAACCAACGCACTCCGAGGTGCACGCCATTGACCCATAGTGACCCACGGGTCTTTATGCCAAAGGCTGCTTTACGTTTGCTGGCGCTGCACTCGTAAGGTAATTCTTTTAGCGCTTCTGCCTCCGAGAGCTGCCGCCGGTTACGAAATTTCCTGTCCTGTTGCTTTTCGTATTTCATTCATTTTCTACTGCTTCGCAGGGGTTTTAGCGGGGTATCGCATTTGCACTTGCTTTCCACAGGAGTCGGACCGATTTGTGGTGAGGTGGTAATGATTTCTCCATCTCTGCTCGTCATTTTATAGATTCCTCAAGTTCCCCAAACAGTTGCTGCTCCCGGTAAGTAGCCCTGCATGTTTGACAGGATTACACTGGAAGGGAGATGGAGGATTACACTGGGAACTCTCATCCGGTCAAATCACCTCAGCAAATGCTTGCACTTTGTTAATTTTATGGAAAACACATCAGTAACATAGCCTTTATCTGTTTTTTTAGCGCTGATGCGAGCTGTAAGATTGGGTCACAGACGTAATGTACGAACAACTGACGGCTGATGCAGGACCAGTGCTTCGGAAGAAGCTGTTTAGCTTTGAGATAAGTGCAGCGATTACGTTTGGCATATACACTGATAGGCTAGCTTGGGGGAAAACACGGTTCCAGGATAACTAACCAGCCTTACGTTGACACGCAAGCTTCCATGACAATTACCGTATCCTTATCTGGGGCACCAACTGTAATTGTAATCGTGCTTTATCGTGCATAATATTATGATGATGAAGTTGCAGAGCGAATAAATTTTCTGCCTGTTCCCCTCGGTCTGCACGATATCAAGCATAAGGAGCCAGACCTGCTTCAGCAGTGGCGGCTGTTTTTATTGAGAAACATGTTTGCTTTTGACACCAAGGTCGCCATTGTGAGGCCTTATCTGCGGTTAGGCGCTGCGCAACATGAGAATGACTACGCGATGTTGAGGGAAACTGGCGTGACGCACATTTTGCAGGTCAGGATGTCGGGTTAAAGTACTCCATTTGTAAAGGCTCTCTGATGTGCGTAGCTGCACTTCCTCATTGCGATGTCGAAAGGTCGAAAGGAAGTCGTTGCATTACCACACTCACCGTTGCCTGTAGGTTGGATCAGAGCTACGTCCCAGTTTTCCAGATAGGTTCAGTTACCTTCGAATCTCTATCGACGACCGCGAGCAGGAGGACATCATTCGACAGCTGCGCCGTTGCTTCAACTTCATCGACAACGCGCGTCATGGTGCTGGTGCGCAGATATAACATTCGTAACGTGAATAAAGCTGCACAGCCTTCATACTAACCATGCAAAATCTGGCGCTCTGGCCCAATGGCCCCATGGCCGATGCTGCCCGCTTCCCTGCCCTGCGCAAACCTTCGTTGACCGAACTGCGCTTATGCGTCCCTCCGCTATTATTACTACACGTGACCTGCATTCTGCCCCGATGCTGACATCAACGCAGCATACGCTCAAGAGCGCATCCGTCCTTCATCCCCTCACAAAGCCTAACCTTTTGGGGAACACCCTTGGAACTTTTGGACCGCTAGGCGAACGTGGCGTCGGCGCCCCTAAACATGCCTACGCACCCGATGAAGCGACGGCGGTGGCGGAGCCGCTGTCTCCTGGAGTTGTTCTCGTGCACTGCATGGCTGGCGTATCCCGCTCTGCCAGCGTGGCGGTTGCATACTTGATGTGGAGCGAGCATCTTTCGTATGTCGAAGCGTTTAAGCACGTCAAGGCTGCCCGGCCCTGCATCTATCCCAACCTAGGTGCGGTTGGTGCGTTGCGTCGGGGGGGGGGGGAGGGGGGCAAAGGCTGCTGCCGTCTGCGTGAACCTCAAAAGGAGTCCTTATCATAACTGACCCAGATGCGCTTTTTGGATGATGTGACTCACATCAGCAAAAATAATAAAGATTAGCCGATTACCAGCCTCTAAAGGAGTAGGAATACGTCATAAGGCCCAGGCCGTGAAGGAGAGTACGTCATAATTCCCAGCCCATGAAGGACAGTACGTCATAATTCCCAGGCCGTGAAGGAGAGTACGTCATAGTCCTGCCCTCCCCTGCTCTCCCTTGCCCTGCCCTGCCCTGCTCTGTCCCTCTTTTTTGGACGGGTGTGTGTGCGGTTCATCCTTTGCTGACTGATTGAACAAATGATGCCGATCTACTTTCCCCCACCCCCTTCGGACGCCCTCAGGGTTTCTGCTTCAGCTTTGGGAGTGGGAGTCGTCCGGATGTGATTTGGACGCGTGGCTGGGCTGGAGTGGGGGGCGGTACGCTGATCGGCTGGCGGAGTACAGGTGGGGGGGAGGGAGGTGCGTAAACATGCATGCAGGGACAGCCCTATCCGTGCATATGTGTGTGTGTGTGTGTGCAGCAAACGTTTAGATAAGGGGCCGTGCATGGTCTTCATGGGTGAGGTAAAGCAGAGGAATATGGTAAGACGGTTGGGCCGTATATATATGATGTGTGGAACAGGGGGGCATATCTTCACCCGTGGCAGCTACCCGGCGAAACCCTGCCTTCCCCGGTGTATCGGGGCACCCACATCTTGTCACCCTAGTCAACTTCTCAGTGGATCGCTCAGGTTCCGCACCCACCACCGGCATCCAACGGAATCTGCCGGATCGACGGCGGCTCAACTCCATTCCTGGTCAGCTCGCAAGATCACTTTATCCCAGGTCACCACCGTCCATCGACTAGGGGCACTTTACCTTCCGGTATCGGAAGGATTTTCGACCCTGACAGGTCTCGATCCCGTAACACGTACGTGCGTACATACATGCATGCATACATACGTACATACATACGTACATACATATACACACACACGCGTGCATGCATGCTTGTAAGGTCCACGACACGAACCCAGGGAGGAGACGGCGACGGGCGGGAGGTTGTCTGTCTGTATGAACGTATGGGTGCTAGGTGGCTGGTGACCGTGCGGTATCTGCTGCTGTGGCCCTCCTGGTTGCGCACTCGTACTTCCCCCTGTTGGTGCTGCCGTACCAACCGCCATGCCGTACCAACTGTCCGGCCCCAAGACGAAAGGAGCTGAGGGAGTTGCTTGCTTACCACCGGCAATATAATGCGCGTCATAGCTAGCATAAGTGTACGGCTGACTTCCCGCCGCCCGCCCACTCGCTGTACCTGAGGGAAACCCCTGCCGTACACATCCTGTGGTGATTGTGTCGTACAGGCGAGCCCAGGACGCGGCCGGACTGCATCGCTCGGTGCGGGTGAGGCTGCCCATGTCTCGAGCTGCCCAAAAAACTGACGCCGCTGCGACTGCGGATGCTGTGGCTGCTGCGACTGCTGCATCAGCTGCCCGTGCTGCTGATAGTCCTGGTGCTATGGCTGAGGCCGGTGCGGCTGATGACGGTTGCCCTGGCCCTGTCGGCGTCGATGGAGTCGATGGCGACCCAAACAAGGCCCAGATATCCGCCGGAACTGGTGGGCAGCTGTGTGGCGCGGAGGCGGGTAGCGGCAAGGACGGCGGAGTGATCCACATCGACGCGGACAGCAGCAGGGGTAGCGGTAATGGCGACAGCGGCAGCGGTAGTGGCAATCGCAGCGACAACTGCAAGGGCTCCCACGCCAACGGTCTTTGTGCGTGCTGCAAGGACGGCGGAGGCAGCGTTCAAGGCGACGACTGCGGGGACGGTGACGGCGGCGACGGCAAGCAGGATACTGCTGGAAGCGGCGGTGGGGTGGGGTGTGTGTAGCATCGGCTGTGTACGGGGCTATCGACCGCGAGGTGCAAGTGCTGCCAAGTGTTGCTGCTGACGATGACGTAGCACGGGCGCTGAGGTGAAGGTGAATTTGGGCAGTCTGGTTGAAACCGCGAATGCAGCAGTGCAGTCGCTTTTTTATATCTAAGTACACCATCCTGGATGTGCGTCCTGATCTACATAGGAGGTCTACAGAATGCTTCAGGAAGGTCTGGAGTTGGCCACATTAGTGCGGAAGGAGATACGTGAAGCAGTTGTGGCGAGGTGGAGGTGGTGGTTGTCTTTTGATGTAGATAAATCTATCCCCTCCGTGCACATTTTTGGAGATCATTGGCTCACATAGTGCATGAAGCTGTCCTATCGCGTAATGGGGGGAAGAAGAAATTCCCCGTTGTGAGCCGACTGGTGGCAGCGGTAGCGGACCTCTTAGCTGTGGTGCTAACATTGGCAGCTCTCCCGGTAATGCTTAGCGGAAGAGAAGCTGCATGCCGCTTGGTGAGGTCGTGGTTATAGCGGGGATGGGACTCCTCTTTAAAATGTCTCATTTAGGTGGCGCGGGCGGTGAATGGGCTGCTACTACAATACGCCACGCGCCTACGCCACGTTTCGACCCATGGGTCACAACTCACAAGGAACCCAAGGCCCATGTGCATGATAACCGCCGCGAGCGGATAGTCTGTCCTCACTCACCTATATAGCACATGGATGCATGCCGAGTCCATGCCATGCATACAAGCATGCGACGACCCTCGCATCCTGAATGCGTTGGGAGATTGCTCTATTTGCGTGCAGCGGCAGTAGGAGAAGAAAAGAAGATAGATTTCTTGACCACCACGGCCGTTGAAACAAAGACGCACACACGCACATCTGCAGGCTGGCTGTGGCGACGAGTAGTGGGAGTCTGGCCGTAGCGTCCAAGCGGCGGTCTGCGGTACGGGCGGCTGGCTTTTCAGCAGGGCACGTGTTACGCCGGGGCCGTACAGGTTCGGTTTGTGTAGGCGCCTCAGCAGCAGGCAATACAGGGCCAACGCCCGCCGTGGTGTGTTGTGTGTTGCGCGTGCTCCGCCGGCACACTCCATTTTTGTGCACATGGCAAGGGTTGTGTTCGGCGGCTTTTGGGGGGCCTAATCAGGCCTAATCGTTTTTTTCTCAAGTCCTTTACCTTTTTCATCGATAAGTAAAGCGTAGGGTATAATGTAGGATGAAGAAATGTTGGGGTTTAGCTCGAGGCTGAAGAACTTTTTCGCTGTCCCAGCGCTTTTTTGAGATTAGACAAGGCGCTCTGCGGCAGTGCGTGATTGCTTCGGTTGATGGTTTTGGGGTTGTGATGCGAGGCTTGGTGGTGCTCTTTTGTCTGTCCGCGCTTTCCAGTCACTTACAATGTCTTCGGGGTTACTGACCCAATCAGTGCCTTAGGGCCTACATGGTACTTTCAAAGCCCCTAACCATTCTGTATGGTCATCAAGACACACCCCCACCATTAGCAAGCTGTGTGTTATTTTACTGGCCACAATTATTTGGGCATTATCAACACAATCCTACTGTTGAGTTATAAATGACCTGTATCTTGCAATACCATCCTTGCTTTTCTTTTTGATTCTAAGCCACCTGATGGCCTTGGTGGCTGAATGCCCTTCATTCCAACTTTATGCATGCCAAACTGCCACATCCGCAGCTTTTTATGCAGCAGTTCCGGATGAGGATGTGACATGCTTCTTTGCTGCACTGCTTACCATGGTAGTGCTGGATGCTGGCAATCTGCTCACTCTGGGCAGTGGTGATGTGTCTTTCCCACTGCATGAGGAAAGCAGGCAGCTGTATGTGCGCTAGTGCTATCCAGACCTCTTCAAAGCCATCTACAAGTCGACAAACAAGAAGCATGTTGGTGAGGCTTGCCTCTTTCCCTGCTGTTGCCTGCCAGGTTACCTATGTATGCAGTCAGGACCCAATGCCCTCGGTCTTGTACTATGTTCCTAACCTAGCTTGTGGCTTTTAAGCACTTGGGCCTCTGCCTTGTTTGAGCTCATTTACACCTCTCTGGGTGACACGTGTGGATGGGTGATGACATTTTGTGTTTCTTACATGTAAATTGGTAAATGACAATTGGCTGGTACTGGCCTGTTGTGCTGCCTGGCCCTGTCCATTGGATGAAGCTTCCTCATGAAGCACCCTCACTGACACACCGGCCAGTCAGGGGTTACGAAGGACTATGTTATGAAGGACTACTGGACTGCTCCCAACCTGCCAGTTCTGCAGGCAGGTCTCTAACAGTAAAGGCTCAAGTAGCAATGCAGTGGGGTTTTGGCCTCCACCACACCTGCCACATCGTCATACATGCATACATGTGCCATGACAGGGGACTGATGATGTTCTTACAGGCCATGGTCTGCTCTTTGTCCATTCTATCCTTGACATCTAGTTACCTTGTCCTGTCAGGTACTTTGCCGAGGGAGTGCAGCCAATAACCACCACTGCGGTCCACACAGTGCTGATAACCCCACCCGTGTATAAGACGTCCAAGGTAGGCATCTGGGGCCCAGATGGGACTGGAAGGCATACCATACACTGATCTTGCTTGTGCATCTGGCATGCAGCATCCAGGACTACTTGTCCATTAGTTGCCACCTAAATGGACTAGGCAATCCAGAATGAAGACCTGTCATCCCAACCTTCCTCGGGCTGCAGGAGATGGAGAAGGAAGGCGCCAGTGTGTGGTACATGCCTGTCTGGGAGTATGACTGCCGCAGGTGCCGCAGGTGCCCGGTGTGGGGTGGATTGTGTGGGAGCCAGCCTGGAGAGCTAGCTCACATGTTGCATGCTGCACCTAGTATGTTCAAATTTTCTTAGGCTAGGGCTCATAATTTAATTTTCATAAGAAATCATCAAACATTACAAAGGGTACCTGCAAGTAATTAAAAACAGTCTTCCTTCGATAGGTAGGCCAGGTGGAGGCCAGGTACATAGCTGTATTCATAGCGACTCCGCGTGTGCTTCAGCAGTACGCCACCTTTCTGAGGGTAGGGAACCTGATCGAGTTGGATGGATGGGAGCCCACCGACCACCGTCCTTTGACGCTTGTTCTTAATGTTACAGTGGATGACGAAAGCAGGTGTAGGGACGGTAAAGGCCGGAAAGCCCGGGTGGAGTTTGATATTGCACGATACCAGGATTATGCGGAATATTTTGAGGGGGGGTCCCCTACTATGAATGCCTTAAGCCAAGTGGCCGAGGACCTGCAGAGGGGAGTTTGCAATACCACACAAGCTGTCGAACGCATTGGAGGTGCCCTGTACAAAGTCCTGGTGAGGGCCTTCGATACCCACCGACCTACCGGCATGACGGCAGGTGGGAATACGGTTTGGTGGAACCGGGAATGTCAACAAACACGGCAACGCATGTTGGAGAGCAGAGCACATCTGGGTCCAGGCCGGGTGAGTAATAAATCGGGTCCGGAATGGGAGGCTTTCCGCCATGCGCGGACGGATTATAACCGGGCAAAAA